TTTTGAGAATCAGTATTTCTATGCTGCAAAAATTGAAATTGAAATACCGTATCGTCACAATGACAAAAATATTGTATAGATTTCCTCAATGCTTTTCTTACATACTGTGACTGAAACTCCTAACTAGTGGGGATCCAGTTAAGGAAAGATGATAATGTCTATGAAACAATCTTCCATAGGTAAAGTTGTAATAGCTGAGCCACAGTTTATTACTGTGATAATTAGAAAACTTTTTAGAATATCATCTCAGTCATATATGTAGATAAACCTCTTCGTTCACATATCTTCCCATATTTATAACGTTCCAAAGGTATTAGCAGCATTTAATTTCAACTGTGTTTCGCCTTGTAAACTTTTATGCCTCAAGAAGCTGTTTGCAGTTGTACTTCAATATGTTTGTTCAGGCCATATTGTTGTTCTGTTGGTGGTAAATAGCAATAGTACTTAGATTTATATACTGCTTCCTGGTGCTTTACAACCCTCTCTAAATGGTTTACAGCAGGGGTCGCCAACCTTTTGGACCTCAGGAACCACCAAATTCATAATTTTAAATCCCAGGGACCACTAACTGGTTCTGTGGGCGTGGCCTAATTTGTGGGTGTGGCTTGGTGGTCATGTGACTGGCTAGGCATGGCTTGTATGTAAATATTATAAATATTTACATAAATATTGATTTTTTTATAAAAAGAGCAACTTTTCCCGAAAATCAGGCAAAGCAGGCAGACAGATTGAGTTGCTCACAGAATCACAGATTCATTCAGAGATCTATCTATCTGCCATTGGCTAACTCAGTCTGTCACATAATATTTACTTGCCGTGAGTCTGCACTGAATAATAGAATCTTCAGTCCTAAGGGAGGTTCGCCTGTGCTTAAAAGCAGAGCCGAAGATCTAAAGACTAGCTAGAAAGCAAGAAATCCAACCATTTCCTGCTTCCTAGCTAATCTAAATCTCCTGGCACAGCAGAACAGATGATGATCGGAAAAAGGAAAAATAGCAATTTAGCAGGCAAGTTTACCGGATAAGGAGTGAGTGGGCGGGAGGGTTCCTGCAGGCCATGTGGGTGGCGCAGCCTTGTGTTTCTGCGCAGCCTGGATTAATTGCTTTGGGGGGGGGGTGTGCTCTGGGGGTGAGATTTCTGTGCAGCCCACCAAAATTTTCTTGCAGCCCACCGGTTAGTAACCGCTGGTTTACAGAGTCAACATATTGCCCCCAACAATCTGGGTCCTCATTTTACTGACTTCAGAAGGATGGCAGGCTGAGTCAACCTTGAACCTGGTGAGATTTGAACTGCCAAATTATCAGCAGCTGGCAGTCAACAGAAGTAGCCTGCAGTACTGCATTCCAACCACTGCGCCACTGCCAAAAATCAATCATCAGGACAGAATCAAAAAACTGAATAGAATCAATATTTTGCCTCTCCATTTAATACAACACAAGCCTCTTTCCAGAGCTCTGGATACATAATGGGATTTAACAAGTCCAATGCGTTATGATCTAGTTTATTAAAACACAAAGTAGACACAAGCATAAATAGGTATTATGAGAATGATGGTTTTAGTTGAAGTTAATGTTCTCTTGTAAAGTGCATTGGGAATGTTAAAACTGAAAAAAAAAACTTGATTTGGATCTTGTCCTGCAGTAATCTCCATTTGAGACAAAGCAACTCATAGCCCTAGGGTTCCTTCAGACTGATGATTTATGTATCACCAGACAGGCATCAGTCAGCTAAGATGATTTTTCCCATCTATCTACAAACTGAAAACACTTTTCAGTAGAACAGAAGAAATTTCCCAGCTCAAGTAATAAGAGCATTTTTGCGTAACTGAAATAGAGGAATGTGGAGATAACTTTGATGACAGAATGCAGGATCCATTAAGGAGGAGAAATAACAACATAGTCCTGGAAAAGGAAAAAGGAGACAAAGAAATTTAAAATAATCCCACCCTTTGGTATAAGAGGGGACAAAGGGAAACTCTGGCAGGCTTCCGAAATTTTGTTATTAAACCCTGCAATAATAAAGAAGAGTTCCTGTAATCTTTGTAGTGTCAGTTTCCTGGCCTGGCCTACCCTGGAAGGCTGACAACTTGGTAACAGAAAGTTCACGGATTGAGAGAAATTTAATTTGAACACTTGTTTTTCCATAAATTGAATTTCTGCTTTGTAACAAAATAGTTAGCAATTATTAGAATTTTATTGAAGCCTCCACCCCATCCTATCAGTCCTTTTCCTATTCAAACTGTAAGAAAATGCTATTTTTTTTTCTTTTATTATAGTACTCGGCCTTCTTCTTCTTCTTTTTTTTAAACATCCCACTGCAGGATGATTCTCGTGTTTCTTATATGGCAATATTCTTAACCATATTCTTTTCCCAACAATGAGATGATAAAGTTGACCCAAAGACTGGGGAAGCAATAAATATTCTTCTATATGTGCTAAAATACAGGGCGTTGGATTTTATTATAAGACAAGATAGAAAAACCTGCCCATGGATTAGAGAACAAATGGAAGCATATGATGTTATCAAGAGAGTAAAAGAATTGAAATGGAAATGGGCTAGTCACTTAGCAAGAAGAACTGATGGCAGGTGGACCAAGGCAGCCACAAAATGGATCCCACAAAAGAGACCTAAAACAAGATGGATCAATGACATCAGCAAGTATTGCAGGCCCAACTGGTAAAAGCAAGCTCAGGACCATATTGATTAGAAACATGTGGACGAGGCCTTCATCCTGCAGTGGATAGACAATGGCTAAAATGACGGGGCACTGTTTATTTTTCAAATACCTACTTATTTTCAACAATAAAGTTGTCCATATTGACAGGAAGCATTTGCCACAGACAGGAAGCAGCAGGTAAAGCTAGGCAGAATCACATCTGATACCTGTATAATTAGCACAGGGCTCCCCCAAGACTGCGTGCTTTCTCTACTTCTCCCTATACACCAATGACTGCATCTCAAACGATCCATCTGTTAAAATACTGAAGTTTGCAGATGATATAACAGTGATTGGTCTCATTCGAGAAAATGACGAATCCGCATACAGACAGGAGATTGTACAACTTGCCTTGAGGTGTAACCTAAACAATCTGGAACTGAACACACTCATAGAAATGGTGGTAGACTTTACAAGAAACCCTCCCATACTACCACCTCTTACAATACCGGACAACACAGTATCAACAGTAGACATCTTCAAATTTCTAGGTTCTATCATATCACAAGACCTAAAATGGTCACCTAACATCAAAAACCTCATCAAAAAAGCACAACAAAGAATGTTCTTTCTGCGCAAACTCAGAAAGCTCAAACTGCCTAAGGAGTTGCTGATACAGTTCTATAGAGGAATTATTGAGTCATCTGCACCTCTATAACTGTCTGGTTTGGTTCTGCAACCCAACAGGACAGACACAGACTTCAGAGGATAATTAGGACTGCAGAAAAAACAATTACTACCATCCTACCTTCAATCGAGGACCTGTATACAGCACAAGTCAAAAAAAGGCCTGTGAAAATATTTAGACTCCTCTCAAACTGTTCCAACTCCTACCCTAAAAACAACGCTACAGAGCACTGCACACCAGAACTACTAGACACAAGGAGTTTTTTTCCCGAACACCATCACTCTGCTAAACAAATAATTCCCTCAACACTGTCCAACTATTTACAAAGTCTGCACTACTATTAATCTTCTCATCACTCCTTATCACCCATCCCCTCCCACTTGTGATTGTAAGACTGTAACTTTGTTGCTTGTATCCTTACAATTTATATTGACTGTTTCCTAGTATGATTTGATTGCTTATTGTACCCTATGATTGTTATTAAGTGTTGTACCTTATGATTCTTGCCTCTTGACAAATGTATCTTTTCTTTTATGTACACTGAGAGCATTTGCACCAAGACAAATTCCTTGTGTGTCCAATCACACTTGGCTAATAAAGAATTCTATTCTATTCTATTCATGAAAAGTAGAAGGAATAGTGTTTGTCAAGAAAATTATAGTAGTGATAATTGAGTTAAATGTAAGACATAGCTAACTCTTAGTATATACACAGGTATGAGTTACTATAATACATTTTAGCAACACAATTTCCCTTCCTCTTACACACACACAACTATACACAGAACCCTACTGAATGGTACAGATTAATCAGTTTAAAAGAGCTTAATCTGGAAAAGTGGATGTAAAACTGCAACTTGTTAATAATAAAAAATAATATTTAATAAAATATTTCATCTTTCTCCTTCTATTACTTAGGATTTAGTTCCTAAAATATTTCTGATTCCTTGTATATTTATATTCTATTATTTATAATTAAATTTATACCATGCTGTTCTACTTATATTGGTAAAGACAGTTTATGCTGTCTTAGCATTTTCAAAGACATTCTTACTGTTTGGGTGTATAGATAGGTACACTGAGAAGTTACATACAGGAGATGTTATCTTTTCCTTTAGATATAGCCGTGCTTTCCCTTCATATCAGCACATTTGACATAGCAGAATTTAATCCATATGTGAACACTATATATTCATTTTTCATTTCCCTAAAAAGAATTTAACAACCTCATAGCATCTATGTTTCTGGCTTGAATTCAACAACTTTCCTAACTACTGAAAAGTTCCTATGTGTACCTCCTCCTCAGTTAGCTTGTTGACTCACTGACAAAGTTTCAAAGGCTTAAACAGAATCATTTAAATCTATTTGTATATTAAATATCATGTTTAATAACTACTGAAGGATTTTTTAGGGAAAGTTACATGTAATGCTTATCACTTATTCTGAAACTGAATTCAATTTTTGCAAGATAAGGCATCTGAAAATAAACAATGCAGACAAAAGAAAGATGCAGAAGTGTTGAACCAGTTTTATTAAATTTCAAAGAATGGGAGAAAAGATTAAAAGAGAAGAAAGGAATTACAGAAAAAAACAGGAGGCATTGGAATTCATTTATTTTGAAGAAAGTGGTAGCTCAAGTAATAAAGAATTATTTTACCTTGAGAAGGTAGGTAGGGATATTGCTGAAGTCCACTGGCAATTTCAGAAGGAACCGAGCTGAAAATTCACCAGTCTATTAATTTGAAAGAATAGAAAAAAGGACCTTAATATTCAATTGAGCATTTGCGTTCCTAATAATCCAGAGACATAATTGAAACAGACTGAACTTTTAGAGTTGTGTAACACACTAAAAGCTAATCACACAACAGGCAAGGTGTCTGCAGGAAAGCAGACTCCAATTATAGCAAGATTATCTCTTAATTATGTCATTCCCACATTCCAATTATAGTGATCATTATGTATGAACTCCTAAACTCAGGACTAATGGAATTCAGATCTTGTGGGGACTTTGTGTCCAGTTTCAACAGATGTATCAGTACTACAAAAACACTTTTTTTTTGAAAGAACCAAATAGTAACTGATGTAATTTAGAATGTAGAATAACAGAGTTGGAAGGGACTTTGGAGGTCTTCTAGTCCAACCCCCTGCCTGGGCAGGAAACCTTACACCATTTCAGAAAAATGGTTATCCAACACCTTTTTAAAAACTTCCAGTGTTGGAGCATTCTTAACTTCTGGAGGCAAGTTGTTCCACTGATTAATTGTTCTAATTGTCAGGAAATTTCTCCTTAGTTCTAAGTTGCTTCTCTCCTTGATTAGTTTCCACCCATTGCTTCTTGTCCTGCCCTCAGGTGCTTTGGAGGGAGCTTGACTCCCTCTTCTTTGTGGCAGCCCCTGAGATATTGGAACACTGCTATCATGTCACAAGATTCAATTCCTGAAACCTCCTATGACTCATTTGACACTGAAAACTTTTTAGATTTTGCATTCCCCCCTTAAATTTTATGAGACTTCGTGAAAAAAATACCCTTGCAACCCTTGCACTATTTCAACATTTTTTATTTAATTGTTCTAATTAAATTGCATCTCATATGCTACTATTTTATACAGGTTTTATAAAAGGATTAACTGATGAGGAGTAAGTTTTTTTAATCACTATATAAGGATCACTGCATTCTCAGATTATTACACATTGTGAAGAAACAAGGGTGGATGATCAGCTCCATCATACAGCGAGACAATTCTATTGTTATATTATTTTGGAAAGACACCAGACACTTTTAGCCAAATCATTACCAAAATTCATAACTTTGGCCATTCAACGGAAGAATCATTTAGACCGGACTGTACGCCCCTCAAGTTATGCAAGTCAGGAAGCAAACTCCACAAATCTGACTCAAAGTATACTTTATTGATATATCGACCAGGGGTCCCTAACTCAACCCCTGGTCTGTGGCCCAGTGCAGGGCCGTAGCCCATTTGGAACCGGGCCATGGAAGTGATGGGCGAGCATGTGCGCAAAGCTGCATTTGTGAAAGCAGCATGCATGAAACCATCCCCTCTCCCTTCCTACCCCACCACCAGCAGTCTGCCAGGCCAGAAAGGTTGGAGACCACTGATACAGACTATAGTAATACCATCTTGAAAGCCTAAACATTCCCTTTTATACTTCTAATACAGGTAGTCCTTGACACAATTGGGACCAGAATTTCCATCATTGTTGTTGTCATAAGTCAAGTCAGACTCATTTTATGACAATTTTTACAGCTATCAGTAAGTGAATCATGCAGTCATTAAGCAAATCCAGCTTTCCTAATGGATATTTTTTTTTGCTGGAAATTGACAATAAAGGTACTAAATTGGGGAGGTGGTGTGATGGTCATCAGTTTTGGTACAGGTCATAAGTCACTTTTTCTGAGGCCATGGTAACTTTAAAATATCATTAAACAAATGGTCCTAAGTTGAAGACTACCTGTATTCTAATGAATTAGGCAGGAGTCAACATTTTTTCCTCTGTCACAGGATAATGACTTTGTGTGGAACCCTAAATTATGCAGATATGCATAAGCTTACCATGTTAAAAATACTATTTTAAATTTAACTGTTTAATAATTTATTTCTAATAATTTTTATTTTATTTTTATTTAAAATTGTTTTATTGAATATGCAGCAAAAATTTAATTATTAAAAATAAATCATATATAAATATAATAAAATCATTTTATCCATTGTAGCAGTCCACAATCTGATACATCATTTTAAGGAGTTACTGAACCAGAAATTGAGAATTCTGATCTTATCTACTTACTGAAACTAAAGAGTCCCTCTGTGAGTGAGATGGACAGTTTCTAAATTTAATAAATAAATAAACAGATTTCTGTTCTGTTTAAACTTCTGCTTACAATAAATAAATAAATAAATACCCAGAATCATTTTCAATTATTTTATTCTTACATGCTGTATGCTATTTCACAATGGTATGCAACACGTTACTATGCAATCTGCAACTCATTCAGACAATTCTCCTACGAATTACCCTGAAAACTGGAGGGCAGCATCTGAATAGCAGGTATTGTTGCTACTTTTTAAACTGTCTCTTTTATCGGAAAGAGAAGGAAGCATTTCCAGCTAGGAACTCTTACATTTTATTTAAACTTGCAGAATGTATTTAATTAGAATAAAAATACTTATTAAATGGTAAGACCAGTGAGAAGTCAGTGCTTTACTGCATTCAAAATCTTCAATTTCACATAACTGTTAGCCATAGTTGTTTACCTAGGCAAACAAGTTCAAGCAAGGTAATGTAATAAAATTGCTAAACAGCAGGAAGGGAGAAAAGAAACAAAGGTAAAATGAGGACATCTATTTTAAGAAATACACACCTAGGACAAACATCTCCTCCAAATCAGGTTATAGTTACTATGGAAAGGAATCTCTAGTACTACTCTTCTGTTATTGTACTCTTACCCAGTTGTTCTTTTTGCCAGCATAAATTTCCATGTTCTCTCCATACTGAGGTTCTTCAAGTAATGTCTGATATTCAAACATGAGCCGGGAGCTCTCACGTAATCTGCTGCATTGAAACTGGTGATACTGTTGTACAAGTTCCTTTACAACAAGCAGGAGGCATTCAGGATTTGAAGGGTTCCAGCAGGCCAAATTCTGTTCAATCAAGAGACAAGTTAACACAAGAATCATGAAATGTAATTGGATTTGCATTGTCCAAAGTGAGATTTGGACCACTGATCAACTTGAATGCTCTTTTATTTGCCAGAGAATCAATATAATTGTTATCACTGAAACTGATGGATCTTTCAGTTGTGGTACACTAGGTAAAAAAATAAAAACAAAAACACTGAGTATTGGCAATATTTTCTTTCTCTTTTGGTGAAGAAATACAAGCACAACGGGAGGGAAAAGTGACACACCTAATATTTTAAATTCTCTGACACAAATTTGTGCTCAGCCTAACTTGGGCCATCAAATTCTCTCAACAAACTGAGATAGGATTTACACTGCATCCTCCTTGAAGGTTAGAATATTAGCAGATCCTATATATAAGAAATTCAAAACCATTAGATTTTCCTTTTTTTTACTCCTGTGCTGTCAGTGCACCGGAATGGATGCCAATCTCCTCTGAGAAAGTGAAGCAGTCCTCACTTATCTTTGTTACTAGCTACATCAGTGTAAGAACCCACTCTTATATCTATTCAAAATTTTGGTAGAGGGGGAAAAACTTAAAGTGGGAAAATATGGGGAATATCAAGGCAAACAAGGCTATATATTGTGACATATCTATAGATTTCTTATTCTTTGTATCTGGTCACAGATATACATCATTTAACCCAGTAAATTCAGATAATCTAGCCCATTATTTGCTCCCATAATCTAATAATATATAAAAGACTACTATTTTTATAAATTTGGAAGGTGCACAAAAAGGTAGAAACCTATGCAATGCACTGTCAGTTTGATTCACAGATAGAACTCAAGTTACAACCTCATATTCACAATCATTCAAAATTACAACAGTGCTGAACAAGGGGGACTTATGATCACACCATGAAATTGTGGCCATTGCAGTGGTCCAACAGTCATGCGATTGCTATCTGGGTACTTAGATGCCCAGTTCACAATGTATCACAGTGAGCTGGCCACACAATCGCTATTTGAAACTTTCCACAAGCAAAGTCAATGGGGAAATCAGCAGATAAAGTTGCAAGACATTCCCATAAGTTGCTCCTCTCCTCTTTCACCTGGGGAGCCCCACTACAGAAATTTTGGTCCCACTTGCCATCATAACTCAAGGCCAACTGTATGGACCATTTTGATCCTTACCTTTGGAGTACTCAACCGCAACATAACATCTTAACATAAAAAAATAAGATTTTATAATACTCTCAACTGAAATTCAAGAGGCTGCTTGCTTTTGCCAGCTACTGAACTGGAAAAGCTATCACCAGTGTCTTTATTTAAAGGCCAGTGAAGCAATTGCTTTGATGAAGATCAGCCTCATGGTATTTCCTGTAATACCCTCAAAAGTGTTTCAATTAAAACAAAGATTCCCTTCTATCACCACCAACACCCTATAATGTTCTTTTATTTAATTAACTCCTGAACCGAATAAACTTATTCTCTGTCCTCTGTTGTCTATTTTCATCCTATCAATTAACTCTAGCTGAATTCTGTCAGCTGTTTTTCACTTTGTCAACAAATTCTACCCATAATTATATAGGCTGTTTTGTGCTATCATTTATTTCTCAATCTTTTTTTTTAAATCCAAAGAACACAATCTACGATCCCAAAGATCTCAAACTATGTATAAATGCTTTTTCAGCTATCTAAAACGTACAAAATTTGATTTTCTAATACACCGGGGGGGGGGGGGGGGTTGTCCCCACAACTATATTTAATTTCACTCGCCTGCAAATATAAATGATTTATACGAAGTTAAAGTTTTTGTTCTATTTCAATTCATTCCTTTTACAAAGTGTGGACTCCAACATTTTGGAGGTTAAGAATCTTTGTCTAGAAAAATCTTGTGCATTCCAGTTTTACACATGCATTTGTGAGATATTTAACTTACATATGGACTTTGGATATTTGTACCTTGAACAGCTAGGAAAGTACAAATGATTTGGTATCTGATATATATTGAATTAAGATTAAACTCATTATCAATCATCTATTATTAGACTTGTAAAATAGTTTAACAGAAAAGTTTTCTACCTTTCTGAAGTATAGATGGTGTTCTTTTTTTAAAAAAAAACCTTGCATTACACAATTAGAATCAAGATATGCATACTTCCATTTATTTTATCAGGTTTTAAGTAAATACCTTTTCATCTGTTCTGAAAAGCTGAAATCTTAACATTCATGCCTGCTGACATTCACACTCAATAACAAATGGAAATAATCCTTCTCCCATAATTATCTTATGTATTATGTCACTAATATTTTGTTAAAGATGTTAGTAAATATTTTACTAACTATTCTATACAATAAAATAATTTTTCCCAAGTATTATTGAGCTTGAGGAACTTCACTCACATGACATTAAATAAACAAAAGAAAAACCTGAGTCATTTAGTCACCTGAAATGACTTGTTTGTTCTTCTCAAGAAGTTTTAAATGTTGTATCAAAGCTGAATTTTGTCAGATTCATTAAATTTAGACATGAACAATTTTAACTAAATTTACTTCTAAAGCCAAATAGATGTTTAAATCTCTTTCCCCTCCCCAAATCCTTAGCAGAAAAGTCACAACGAAAATTTAACAAGTGGCAAATTATCCAGGGCAATTTTAATATATCCATTCTATGTTAACACAGTCATACCTGCAATAGATAGAATCAATTTTTAAACTTTTTCTCTAGAGATATTTTTATTCCCCATAAATACTCACATATTATTGAGCTGCAGGAAGGTATATTACTTAAGCTAACTTTTCAAAATATTTTCTGCCTTTATCATTTTTCTCCAAGCTTTGTATAGAAGCCTTACATGTCAATGTTGTGGGCCACAAAATACTTTCCACATTTTATTTCTTTAAACAAATCCTTAAAATATATATTCTTAATTACTTATACTAGAATTCTGTAGCAGAAGTCAATATTAAGATATAGTTCTGCCAATATCAGTATTCCAGCTAGATGAGTAAACCCACTTGTATTAGAGATCATTCTCATATCTTAATCATAGAAAAATACGGTATCACTGATTGTGTGGCACCACACGGATATGACAATATAACTGGCAGAAGCATCATGCAGATGACTACCTTATTTCCTGGCACGTTTCAGGCAGTATGATGGAAGACAGTTTTCTTGTCTTTACCACATGCCTTCAAACGAGTATACTTCCAGGAAGTAATCTATACACATGATTTTATAAGTTAATATTAAAGAAAGACAATGCATTCGCAACTTGGGCAAAAAATTAGAAAAGTATCACACAGTGCAGGGAACAGTTTATTAATTTGTGTAATTTTTTCATTTTAAATGCTGCACATATTGTTTCATTCAAATATTTTGTAATGTAAGATCACCTCCATTTCTTCTAGTGCCGGAGCTGTGCGGGCTGGGCAGAGCTGGGAAAGTGAGCCGCGGGTGCGCACCCGCCTGCCAAGCGAAACAGCCGGGCCAACCCAAGCTTGGCTTCCTTCCCAAGTCCCTCCAGCCCGAACCTGAAGGGGCCACCAGGAGAGGCTGCCCGAGGCAGTGATAGCGCCCACCCATCCGTGGACAGGGAGGCAAGGCGACGGCCTGCGCCGCGTCCTCCTCCAAGCTGAGCCCCGCCAAGTCAGCGCCTCTGCCTGATGCCCGTTCCGCTGCAGCGTTTGGAGCTGCCGGCGCATTTGGAGATGTGTGGGGATGGGGACGGGCTGGGCGAGGGGTGGAAAGGATGGGGGGCTTTGGGCTCTCTCTGACGGCCAGGGAAGCAGCGCTGCCATCACCTTGCCTCCCTGTCCGCGGACGGGTGGGTGCTATCACTGCCTTGGGCAGCCTCTCCCGGTGGCACCTTCGGGTTCGCGCTGAAGGGACTTGGGAAGGAAGCCAAGTTTAGGTCGGCCCGGCTCTTTTGCTTGGCAGGCAGGCGCGCACCCGCAGCTTGCTTTCCTGGCTCTGCCCAGCCTGCATGGCTCTGGAGTGGCCCTGGCGGGATAAGTGGAGGGTCCGACGGGGAGGCACTCGCTGCCTTAGTGAGAGCTCTGCTGCCGGGCAGGAGGGCCCGCCTGTCAGCTGTGCTGGGTGCCCCAGGCGAAGCTCTTCGCGCTCTGCCCGGCGCCAGGCAGGGATGGCGGCTGGGCGCTTCTCCCGAGGTGGGCCGATCCTGCACTGCAGCCCCGGGAGATTCGCCCCCCCACGTGGGGTTGGGCTGCCCTCTCGGGCAGGGGAGGCTTTGTTGTAGTAGGGCGTCATTTTTAAAATAATTGGCTTTACCTTCGAGGCAAAGGGAAGGCGGCGACAGGAGCGCCTGAAGCTGAGTGTCTCCGCCGGGCTCTGGTTGCAGGGAGGAGCCCTGGCTGGCCGCACGTGGCTGCGCCAAACACCGCGGCTTTGCTCTAAACGCCACGGCAACAAGGGAGAAGGGAAAGCAACGGTGACGGAAGGTGTCCCGATACGAAGTGCCCCACCAATGCCGAGGTCAACATCCAAGCTGTTGCCGCCTGCCCTCCCGAGGATGCAAGGGGGGGAATTAAGTCACCCCCGAAAAGATGGCCTAGCCGTTTCTTCGGGGATCAGAAAAAAATAAGGCCTGGCCTTATTTTGTGAGAAACACGGTAGGATAATATTTCTATACTCTTACACTACACATATGGTATGACCAGTTTCTACAACTAAGAAAAGTCAGAATAAGAAGCAAGTTAGACTTGTCAATAAGAGAATAAGCAAATAGTTTCTTAATTAAATGGAGCTTGTTTTTCTTAAGAATGTGCTTAAGCATCCAGGTTGCTGGAATATCTTCCAGAAACGTGACTTTGAAGAAGACAGCTTGCTACTGTTTTTCCTGGCTACACTACAGAAAACAGCAAGATCTTCAGTTAGTGTACTTTCATATTTTTAGGAGGAAGAATTAAGTGCAGTAATTGACAAGGAAAATAAATGTCAAGAAATACAAGATATCAAGCCCTTCAGAGTGACTAATATTAAAGTAGAGCTTATCTTCACTGATTAAAAAAAGGGTACAATTTCAGTATGCCAGTAAAATACAAAATTATTTGTGAGCTTAGGCTATAAAAGTTTTATTTAAATATTATGAAGTACTACTACTACACATAAAAAAAAACACAAACTTAACTTTAGTCATCACTAACATTTTCAGCTACATTCAATTGTCTCCATTTTTTCCACATGTGTCTAGTGCACAAGTGTCAAAGTTTATTCACATTTTAAAAGTATACACTTAAAATATCTTAGGTATTGGCCACAAATTTGTAGAGAGCAGAATTCCACAAACTAGAGGTTCCCTTTGAAAGAAAATATGATTTTTTAAATGAACCATTTTCTCCTTGCTCCAGAAGTTTCCATAACAGGGCTAGAGGCAACATTAGGAAATCTGGAGAAAATGAAAATCAGAGTGAAGTAATATTGCCTGTGACTATGGTAGCATTTAATTAGCAACTGTAGGACAGCAAATCATGATCAATATGCCCCTAAAATTATCCAGTATGAAAGCTACAGATACTGTATTTGCAAGCAGCTGCATCAATAAATAACTTGAAATCAACACTAACTTTTGACATGGTTACCTTGTCAAATGGTTACCTTATTTAATATATGAAAACAAAATTGAATCTCTATTGTACATTCTTCAGCATTAAAAATAAGCTATTTAAATTACCTTGATGAATTATATAGAATCACTAGTATGCTGGTATTGTAGTATCTACAGTACTTTCATAACCTGATACAAATTTTTTCAGAACTAAGTACGCTTATCTAAAAGTTGCTTCTAGTGAAGGTAAAATTTACTGATCAGGAAGTCATATCTTGTAATTAATATTCCCCTATTTCTTTTCCAATTACAAAAGTGCCATTCAAAGTAATATTTGATTTATATTGCCACCCATTCATATTCACAACGATAAAGTTAGAACTGCTGTTCAAGAATGGAATTTCTGTTTCAAACAGACATTATGAATTAAAACAGGATGGAAAATTAGAATAGTTTTAAATAACTGACTAATCAGTCATATTTACAAGTATTTCTTTCTCCTTTGAAAATGTATATTCTAACAGCTTGAAACAGGACATGCCACAAATGTATTAGATTTGCCACTACAAAACATACATAGGAATAGTATTATTTTGTATAGAAAGCATGGTTGAAGACTATTGAATCACTGCCTTCTAATTAAATTGCAGTTGTGATAGTTACTTAAAATTTTTGGAAGAAAGAAAACAGTATGTTAAAGTGCAATTGTAAATTTATTCTGACCATGTTTCTTTCTACAATATGTAACAATTAAAGGCGATGTTGCTAGATTAAATACTTCTAATACACAGTATTAAATAAATGAAAATATTTTTTGTGATGGTGCTTCAGCTCTGGAATTACTTCTCTTGTGATGTGTGACTAATACATTATATTTTTTGCATCAAGTCAAGATACTTCATTTATCCAATGCAGTGTTAACTTATAAACTATGGCTTTTGCTGATTTTTGATTGCCTCTTATTTTTCATTATTATAATTTGATTAAAGATATCTAATAATTTTAAATATGAAATATTGTACCTCTCCACCATGAACCCATATGTATACATATTTTTAAAATTGTTTTAATATTCATTTTAAAGAACACTATGAAGCACAGTTCCATATGTTAAATACAAATTTATGACAATGAGTAATGTTCTCTCAAATATATTCATTTGGTATATTAATTACCCACCAATATTCTGAAACCAGAGTTGCAAGGTCAGGTTTGATTTATGGTCAACAACTGAGTAAAATTATTATTTATATATTTTAAATATGTGTGTGTGTGTATACATACACACACAATTTATATGCGTGCACACACATGCATGCACGCATGCACACACACATAGCGAGCTCTTCGAACCAGTAGGAAAAATTTTTGAAACCCACCACTGATGGTGACCGATGCATTGGTCACCTCCCAACTAGAATACCACAATACGGTCTACCTGAAACAGCCCCTGAAGAACATTCAGAAGCTGCAATTGATCCAGAATGCAGCATCAAGAGCAGCTATGGACATACCACAATATGCCCAGTTAACAGTTTTGCTCTCCAAGTTGCATTGAATGCCAACAAGCTTTCATGTGCAATTAAAATAATTTGGCTCTACAGCACACCTTTCTGGCATAAGGCCAGGTTACCCTTCTCCAATTGTCTCCATTCCATGCTATCAGTTAAAGAATATTATTTGGCCAGACTCAGGAAGTGTGCTGTTCTGTATCAATGCCTGTTCTATGAAACACCATTTCTCCCGAGATTAGATTAGCTTCAACCCTTCTGAGCTTTTGCTAAGCCCTTTAAGATCTAGTTTTTCTTTCTGGAAAGAGAAGGGTTGGAATTTAGGAAGGATTTGAACCTGTGAGTTAAATGAATTTCTTATTGACTGGGTTGTTCTTGACTGACATTTTTAAAATATGTCTTATTTCTATATTCTGTTACTGCATTGTATAGAATATTTATATTGTGTTAGCCATCCAGACCTGCTCAGATCAGATATAAAACTAGTAAATTAATTAAAACAATGGACAAAAAGTGTAAAATAATGTTCATATACTCACGAAAGACAAAACTGTTTCTGAGTATCCAATCTTGTTTATTTCCCAGTAAAATAAAAATCTCAAGAGTGATTAACAACTAAATATCAACTTGTAGAATGGCATAATAGCATAATACAGTTAAAACACATAATATATCTAACCAAATTCTATTCCATTAGAATAAATCAAAGCTGATCTATTCTAATGGAATAGATCAGCTTTGCAGTTCATCTAACGCTTATTCCAAAATTTAGGGCCACAGTTTAAAAGTAAAGCAATTGAACTGACAAAATTACAGCAAAATATACTCACATGTAAGGAAGAAGGATCAGGTAAAAATTCAGCATCCTCTCCAAAGATAAAGTCAGGTGGCAACTCAGGATAGTGAGCATTAAAAATTATATCCCCTTAAAATAAGCAAACAGCAAAAAAAAAAAAAAAATTACTACTGACACAGAAGAAAGTAAAACCCTGATTTTGATCATTACACTAACATGATTAGTGCTTTCCACTTCTCCAGTACTGCAGCCATGAATATTAACCACAATTTATTTGGGTAAATATTAAACAATGATTAATATAAAAGAGCATGCAAAAGCTTCTGAATTGATCATAACTATGCTAGACTTTTAGATGTGAAGCATGTATGCATAAGGCTTCTTGCAGCTTACTCTTCTATTGCTAAAATCAGATCACTTTGAAAAAGAATAACATTTTATTAACACCTTTAAAAATCAGTCATTGTTGGAGAGCAACCATCCCAGCTGGCAGGAGGCCGAAGTGGGGAATTAGCCTTGACTCGCTATATAAATACAGGAGGGCTAGGTCTGACCCCCCCTCCCCCAAATGCCTTTGAGCCTTATCCAGTCTTTCGCAGTCAAAAGCTAGACGTCTGGGGAGATTCCTGTATTAGAGGCATAGAACAATAAAGTACATCGCTAGTTTGAACTCTATACCTGTAGGTCTGGTTGTTTGCACCTGACAAGTATCATTCCATCTTCATCAAAAGGATCTTCCTCAATTGTCAAAAATTATGTTAAAGGATTCTCAAATATGAAGTTTATATTGGTGAAACTACAGTATATTTGAATTTAATATGAAATACCCATTTATTTACAAGATTAAATACATAGGTTTGTTCCAAAAATCTTTTTGGAAGCAGATGTTTGCCCGGAATGTATTCTGAATTAATACAGGGATCGCCAAACTTTTGTACCTCAGGGACCACCAAACTCATAATTTTAAATCCCACGGACCACTAATATGAATTTTGACTGACAGTGGCTTGCTGATGTTGGAGAGAAAGAGAGAGAGAGAGAGAGAGAGGGAGGGAGAGAGAGAGACTGTCTGACTGACTGACTTTTGGCTTCATGCAAGGAAAGCAGCAGAAGCAGCAGAAGTCTTTCTTTCTCTCCCTCAAACTCCGCCAGAAATGAATCTTTGCCGGCATAGCCTCCTGGAGCAGGATGCCTTGCAGAGTCCCAAAGACTCATTTCTGGCAGAGTTTGGGAGAGAGAAAGAAAGACTTTTGCTGCTTTCCTTGCATGCAGCCAAAAGCAGAAGAAGCGGAAAGAAGCAGCCCGGTGGCCAGATGAGCCGCATGGGGCAAGTTCCCCCCCTCCGCCCTTTCCCCCTTCCCCTCACTATCTCATGTTGTTCGCAACACAAGCTTTGTGTTCCCATGGGCCATGTAGGCAGCACAGCCTTGTGTTCACGCGCAGCCTGGATTAATTGCTTTGGGGGGGTGCTTTGGGGGTGACATTTCTCACCAAAATTTTCTTGCAGCCCACTGGCTGGTGACCACTGTTCTAAGACTTTTTTTAAAAAATTGCTTCCCAGAATATGTAAATCTAGTCTCAGTGGTTGTAAACAATGGTTTATTCAGGAGCTAGGCAATCATGCCTTATCCAAGATTATGGGTGATATAAAATATGGTTTAATACATTCAGAGAACCCAGCTACTATTCCTGATTTGTCTCCAACTACTATAATTTTGCACTATAAAACTCTTTGCAGAATACCCACTTTAATCATTTTTCAAGTCTTTGCTTCATGATCATACTATCTTCATCACAAAAAAATTAATGTTTCATTTACTCTTCCAAAATATATGATGGTACTTTGCCTTTCAAAGTAAAGTAAATGCTATACTTGCTTGAAAAAGATTTGGAGATGCTTCAGAAGGGATAGGAATGGAAACATAGCACCTCTAAGAAAAGCCCTTTGTGGGCTTCTACATGTCTCTGAAGAATTACATGGCTGCTTTAATGAGTTAAAATAACTGCATCTTTAACACAAACAAGCAGCAACATAATTTTCAGGTTCATGTGGAAGCCTAAAAAAAATACATGGTTATTTTAAAGATATGCTACTTTCCAATAAACCCTTTTCAAATCATTTTAAAGGCATATATATCCCAACCAATTAATATTTAGTTTCAGTAAAGGTTGCAATCTGTTGTACAAACCATTCAAATTCTAATAGTCTGATGGACTTCAGAAAAGGAGAAGTTATGCTTCAAAAGGCCATGCTTCAAAATGCTTTATCTAAATTTGCAGCATGACAGCTGTTTGATTGATATTCTGCAAAAAACAAACAAACCCCAAAACCTCTTCTCTTACAAAGAGGATGTTGTAGTACCCACAAAGGAAGCATACTGTCCTGCTGAGAAACAAATCATGGGCAGTGGCACACGTTCTTATTGCAACATTTCTAATGGCCTTCCTTCATTAAACTCTCTTGTTCTTAAAAGATAACAACCATACATCAAGGAACAGGATGTCTGAAGTTCCTGTGCAAAGCTGTCTTTCAATGACTGTTTCACCTCTGGCCATTATGAAATGTCTGCTGATAAACAAATATTTTCTTCTAAGCATCTTTTTCACTATTAATTAGGATCTATACTATTTCTTTCCGCTTGTGCAGAGTTTTCAAAATATATTGTTTCTACCTAGAACCTGACATACATAGCATTTTTGGTGTATGTAATATAGATTTGCATATTCATAAAGGCAGAGCTCTAAGGAATGTCACAAATTATGCCTCCATATTATAATGTTTCATTTTAACTTCATTCTAAGATGTAGATTTGCCAGCAATTTACAACATATCTACCAAACAATGATATGGATGTAAAATGGTTCCTTTATTTCTCCTATATTAACCAAGCTCTTGCTTTTGATCTTATTATTTGAAAATTTATTATTTTAAATTATGGTGAAGGAATGTAGAAAAATATCATAAAAGCAAAAAACTTTGCAAAAGCAAAAAAATGAAGTTTACATGGTCATTATGCAAATGACATCGTTTGTATCAGTGAACAAATGACACAAATGACAATATTTGCCTTGTCTGCATAACGTCACTGCAAGTGATATACTCTAATTTAAAAGAGAAACAGGAATTACAGAATCCATTCATCTCAAATGGAAATTGAGGTTTCACAATCTTTTGTGTGTGTGTGTGTGTGTGTGTGTGTGTGTGTGTGTGTTTAAGTTTTTTGCCTTGCCAACCCAACTACTTTCGAATAGCAGCTTGCCAGCTCAACTGTTGTGCCACTTTGTAACTCAAGCACATTTAGGAATCTTATCAAAAATTCCTTGAGATTTACATTGAAATGCAGTTTAGAACTTCAATAAGTGATTCACCATAGAAGGTAGAAAATATGAGGTACACTCGCCTTCCCATCTGCCTTCTCTGAAGCCTATGTATTCTTTTCAAAACATTTAAATGTACTGTACTCTTCAAAGAACATAAGAATATAAGAGTGGAACCATGCCCAAAAGCATGATCCTCAAAAGTTCATTAATTCTTGTATTTATTTCAATCATCAAATAACTCTTGGTGGCTTGACATACTAGGATTAAAATTTTAAACTAGTCATATAATTCTTGGATGCTTGATTTTAATTGCAATTGTGTAACAGAACGGTAAATTATCATCAGCTCCTTTCTATTACTCCTGTGTAATAGAACCTTTTCAGAAAAAAGTAAGATATGAACTCTTGCAAGGTTTCCATTTTGGGGGGGTTCTCATCTTCTAACATTTTGTGTACAGCTACTGAAGTCTCAAGAGAGTTCTAGCCATCCTCCATGCAAACTGCTTGCTTTATGACAAACACTCTAATATATCTTTGTATCAGATTAAGTGTTTTAGTAGATGCTATATCTGGGAGGGACCGAATCCCTGAGCAAATGAAGATTCATCTGAGCATGCATGTGATCTAGATTTTACACAAAACCATCCCCCTCCGGTCTGTGGAAAAAATGTCTTCCTCGAAACTGGTCCTTGGTGTCAGAAAGGTTGGGGATAGTACAGGTTTAATAATTGTAAAAATGCAGCATAAAGAAATTAATTTAAAGAATTGTTACCCAAATCTGTCATAGTTCAATCTATTTATATCTATCTGTCTGTCTATCTATAGTATCTGTCTATCTATCTTATTCTGATACACACACACACATATATGCATACAGTATGTATGTGTATGTAATTACATACAAGTGTACCCCCATTTTGATTTCTCAATTTATTTTCTATATGAAACATCTAACTTGCACAATGAACTTCAAAAATATCTACAAATTATAATGCATTATATATAAGCAACAAAACAAACTCTAAAAGGGGTAACTCACAAAATTCTACTATACAGGTAAAACTCGAAAAATTAGAATATCGTGCAAAAGTTCATTTATTTCAGTAATGCAACTTAAAGGTGAAACTAATATATGAGATAGACTTATTACATGCAAAGCAAGATAGTTCAAGACGTGATTTGTCATAATTGAGATGATTATGGCTTACAGCTCATGAAAACCCCAAATCCACAATCTTAGAAAATTAGATTACATGCAATCAATAAAACAAGGATTGTACATAGAACAATATCGGACCTCTGAAAAGTATATGTGTGCATATGTACTCAGGACTTGGTTTGGGCCCCTTTTGCAGCAATTACTGCCACAATGCGGCGTGGCATGGAAGCTATCAGCCTGTGGCACTGCTGAGGTATTATAGAAGACCAGGATGCTTCAATAGTGGCCTTCAGCTCTTCTGCATTGTTCAGTCTCATGTCTCTCATCTTTCTCTTGGCAATGCCCCATAGATTCTCTATGGGGTTCAGGTCAGGTGAGTTTGCTGGCCAATCAAACACAGTAATCCCACGGTCATTGAACCAGGTTTTGGTGCTTTTGGCAGTGTGGGCAGGTGCCAAGTCCTGCTGGAAAATGAAGTCAGCATCCCCGTAAAGCTCGCCTGCAGAAGGAAGCATGAAGTGCTCCAAAATCTCCTGGTAGATGGCTGTGTTGACCCTGGACTTAATGAAGCACAGTGGACCAACACCAGCAGATGACATGGCTCCCCAAATCAACACAGACTATGGAACCTTCACACTGGACTTCAAGCATCTTGCAGTGTGTGCCTCTCCATTCTTCCTCCAGACTCTGGGTCCTTGGGTTCCAAATGAGATGCAAAAGTTGCTCTCATCAGAAAAGAGGACTTTGGACCACTGAGCAACAGACCAGTTCTGTTTTTCTTTAGCCCAGGTAAGAAGCTTCTGACATTATTTCTTGTTCAGGAGCGGCTTGACAAGAGGAATACGACATTTGAAGCCCATGTCCAGGATCCGTCTGTGTGTGGTGGCTCTTGATGCACTGACTCCAGCCTCAGTCCACTCCTTGTGAAAGTCCCCAACACTTTTGAATGGCCTTTTCCTGACAATCCTCTCCAGGCTGTGGTCATCCCTGCTGCTTCTGCACCCTTTTCTTCCACCCTTTCCCCTTCTACATAACTTTCTATTAATGTGCTTTGATACAGCACTTTGGGAACATCCAATTTCTTTTGCAATTACCTTTTGAGGCTTTCCCTCCTTATGGAGGGTGTCAATGATGGTTTTCCGCACAACTATCAGGTCAGCAGTCTTTCCCATGATTGTGATTCCTACTGAACCAGACTCAGAGACCATTTAAAGGCTCAGGAACCCTTTGCAGATGTTATGGCTTAATTAGCTGATTAGAGTGGGACAATTTGAGCCTAGAGTATTGAACCTTTTCACAATATTCTAATTTTCTGAGATTGTGGATTTGGGGTTTTCATGAGCTGTAAACCATAATAATCTCAATTATGACACATCATAGCTTGCACTATCTTGCTTTACATGTAATGAATCTATCTCATATATTAGGTTCACCTTTTAAGTTGCATTACTGAAATAAATGAACTTTTGCACGATATTCTAATTTTTCAAGTTTCACCAATACATGAAAGATACCATGTCACATTAGATACCTTCACCACTGATTCAATGAGTTATGCTTATAGTTTATGGGTAATTCACTATTTTCCTATTTGTTTTCTCCTAATGCCTTAATTAAATTTTCTTAATTTTATTATCAGGCTGATGCATGTCTATGAATATAAGTGATAAACTTTTATCAAATGATAAAAGAAGATACTTTCCATTGGAAAGTATTGGAAAGTATCCTATTGGAATGGAAATGGAAATAAGAAACACAGATAGCTTTATTAAAAATAAATATATTGATAATTTCCCTTTTTAAAAACAAAGTCAAGGGACTAGAGAACAAGCATGCCTTACTCAATAAATTTCTGTGTTCACATCACATGCTAAGATAAAATGAATTATAAACAAAGTATACTCTAAGAACTTAGTATGATCTTGTGACCAGCCAGAAAGTTCAAATATTTTTTCAGTCTCAATTGCTAATGCTACAGCAAAGCTAAACTGACAGTATGAATGAAAGAGCAGAAATAAGTTTTAATTTCTCTCAAATAGAATAACACAGGCAAAGAACTGACCTTGCAGCTCCTTCCTTAATCTCCTGTCCCAGCAAAATTGCTGTTTAAAATGAACAGTTTTCCCCTTAATCCCCTTTTTAAAGTTGTGTAAATTGGCAGCTTCCCATTCTAACTATGAGTTGTGTGAATAGGCCTTATCTACCACTTGATATATTTTCAATGAATCACAACCTAAAAAGCTTTTTCCTAATTAGCCAGCACCTATGGAAAATCAGAACTACTGAACCTTCTCATTCTACATCTGATTGCAGTAACACATTTGCAGTTTATCTGCCTGTTCATTCTGCTTACAATGATTTAAAATTCTTCACAATACTTTTATCTGTTTGTTTTAATCAGCATGAATAATCTGCTTCAATCCAAATCTTGGCCACTGATCCCTTTTAACTCTAGACAGTCTCTTTCCTCTGACTGCTAAATTGGTTTCTTTCCACAAGGCATTCCTGCACTGAGTTGCCAACTCTAGGTTACATGGCACCCCTAAGTCACATTAATTGATGGTGCCATTTCCTGCCAAAGTGAAGATTTGCATTTTTATAAGGAATTAGAAGGTGAAACTGCAATGGTGTCCCAGTACTTACTTGGCCTTAGATTAAAGCTGGTTAGACCTTTGTATGTGATGAATGGTGACTACTTGAACACAAATGTTAAAAGAAAAGGAATAATATCAGCAGAAATGACTAAAAATATTACTAACACAATAAAAAATTAAGTAAATAAAAAGATATTTATTTGATGGAATATAGAGCAGACATCAGGCAACTTTCTATAAGGAATGGGTTCTACAGATGAGAAACATCAGAAAAGAAACAGAAATTATTAGTTTAGCTACAGAATCAAAAAGCCAGTAAAGGTCTGCAGATTATTTTAAGGTACTAAGTACTTACATTTTAAAGTTTCTCCAGCATATGGAATATGCAACTTAAATCGATCACAGCTGGGTCCAAGAGTTAATGAGGTGCAACTACAATAAAAAAAAATACTAATCTGAGTGTTGATGAAGGCAATAGGTGCTACTCATATTGTAGTTACATAAAATTAGCTATACAAAGTACAATACACTAAGAACTTTAACTGTGTTTTTAAATGTTTCCTACTATTACACATGTTACATGTTTTGGGGGATGAAAAGGTGGGGGTACAAGTTGGCAAGTTGTGCAAAGCAAAATATAATAGGATGAGCCCAAATGCTCAAAAGTATTCAAGTAACTGCAATTACAGCCACTTCAAAAAGGTTTCTCCATTTCTAGTATATGCACCGTCAAAATTTCTGGCGGGATTGCCAAGGCAAGCATACTCACAATGCATACAGTTAGAGATCATTTAAAGAAGTGATGCTGGCCATTCCAGAGGATGCAGCTGTTTTAATACTTGAGGAAGTTCATTTATTTCACAACGCATCTCTTTCAAATGTTCTCCATAACCCCACAAACTGCAAACAGGCAAACTACTGCACATACTATATTTTTATTTATTTCACGCTCTACAACAATGCATATATTTTCATTTATTATTACATTTATCATCATCATTCTATTATTTTAGATTTTACAACAATAGCAACATACACTAGCTGAAATAAGTCTCATTACTTTGTAAAGTTGTTAGATGGGTTTGTTTTGTCTTTGTGCTTGAACTCTCAAAATATCCAAGCAAATGTTACTGGGATTCTAAATATAGATTTGTTAAACATTATTATTATTTTTGTAAATAGTAATACCCTATTAATAAAACATTGGTGATAAGCTTTCATTTTGACATTTTAAAAAAATAAAATGTTTTAATGGTTAATCATCTAGCTCACTTGATACATTTGTTGATGTAAAAGCCTCTTTTTTTTTTGTAGCACCTACACTGCGACTATCCCACGTAGGCTTTTGGGAACCATCTATAGATTGAGGAGTGACATGGAGGTGGAATGGTTGATTTACTGTATACAAAGTTTAAAAAAACAACAACCCAAGAACAGAATATTGCCCAATGCGAATATGAAACCTAAGGCTTTAAAGTTAATTCTTCTGTTAGTAACAACCTTTAAAATGTACTCATATGAATTTTTCTACTTTTATACAGAAGGTGCCTCTATAATCCAAGTTAGCCTTCATTAGCCTACTCTCTTTCACTAGTCACTAAGACAGCAATCCTACATTTTTCCCTTATTGAACAAAGAAAGTTCATTTTTATGAGACCATTGTAAGGATTCTGCTTTATAAACTAAGAGGAAAGACCTAAAATTAATGCTGCAGTGCTGCAACAGAAGTCTCTGAGCATACCCAATAGAAAATTTCACTTTTAGGTTTTAGTCAACAAAATTATTTCTATTGTGCACTCAAGCTTATGAAGACATCAGATTTTACATCAATTTTTCTTGCTTTAGGCTACATTCTGATGAATCCTAACATCCTTCCTAACAATAACAAATATTACCTATTAATATTTCATTTTTTACATATAATTTTGTGACATGCGGTAAATCCAAATTATTGATAGCATTTCTATGACTTGGTTGCAGGGCCAAATGTCTATTTCACACAGAAAAGCCATCAATGTATGTTGTGCCAAGGTGTTTTGTTGTTCAGCTAACTTTTCACAGAGTCTGACAGTGATTAAGGCTAAGAGGAACTGATTGCTTCAAGATTGTCCATGTGTCTAAAGAAGGACTAAAACTTCTGTTTCCCCAATCCTAACCCAGCACCTAAACCATTACGCCACACTAGGTGTCTACATGAATCCAAGGAGACTTTTGAATGTAAAAAAAATTCAGATTTTGCAAGTATATTTCCTTTTTATCTACTGCTCAAAATCAAATGGAAAAGGATATACCGTATATACTCGAGTATAAGCCGAGTTTTTCAGCCCATTTTTTGTGCTGAAAAAATCCCCCTCGGCTTATACTCGAGTCAGATTCCCCTCTGAAAAAAAAATGGTGTGGAGTCGCTGCCGCCGGAGCGGCCCCAGTCCCGCCGCCTCGGGAAGGGAAAGGCAAAGCGCTAGCATCGGATCGGGCGCGCCGGACGGTTCCGACCGAGCCCCGAGCGTCGTCTTTGGCGCCCGCCCAGCGCCGGGAGAAGGGGAAGACACCCCCCCGGGGGCGGGGCAGGGAGAGGAGCTTCTCCCCCCCGCCCCTCTTTCCGCGCCCACCGGTGTCCCCGCAGGACGACCCCCGCAGTCGCCGCCGCTTGAAAGAGACGGGCTGGGGCTGGGTAGAAAGGCACCAGGCGCCCTTGGAGAAGGTCCCGCGTTCGCCTGTCTGCCCGCGGATGTCAGCGGAGCTTTGCCGCTGCTTCGTCCGGGGTCTCTGGGCAAACACGTCCACCTGAGCGGGGTTTGTCGCCTCCGGCACGCAACGAGCGCTGCCCTCGGATTCCCTGTCCGGTTGCCCCCCTTTTGAGGGCGATGGCAGTAAACTGTTCCCGTAGCAGCGGCTGCTCCTCTTTCCCGGCTGGGCTGGTGAACGAGGCTTCGCAGGGCACCTTCGGCTCAGCAATTCTCTCCGCCGGAGCGGCTGGTCCCGGGAGGCCGGCCCCTCTGCCCGGAGGGGCTGGGGGGGAGGGGGCTCCGGTCCGGCCTTCCGAAGCCGTGAATTCATCCCTCTCGCTGATACGCCTGAGGCGCCCCTGGTTGCCTTGCCGGCTGGTTCCTCCGCCACAGAGCGAAAGACGCGCTTCCCTCGAGGAGAGCAGGGGATGTGGGTCCTGAGGCAGCCAAGTCCCCCCAAATGCTCGCAGTCCCACCTGCCAGCCGGACGGTCGCCGCGCTCCCCTCTGGACTCTGCCGGCGCCTGTGCCCTCCAGAAGGCAGGAGGGTCACCCGGGTGGTTTTGTTTTTAGCAAACCTGAGAGGAGCACCAGGGTGGGGAAAAGTGAACACGTGACTACGCAGGAGCTGTTCTGGGATTCTTTCCTGCTTCTTGTGCAATCTCACACCCCTCCCGAGAAGGGACACCCTGACCCCCATTTGGGACTTGCGCCTGACAGGGGCCTGATGGAGCCCAGAGCTTTGGAAGTCATTCATTCTTCCAGGCTGCACATGAAGGACATGAAGAGCTTCCAGGCTCTTGAAAAGGGGGGGGGAGAGAGAGGCCAGCCTGATGAGGTCTCTGCTCCATCTGACCCTGGAGTAGTGGGGTAGTTGTGATTGCAGGGAAGCCAGGCAACAAATTACAACTCTGGCCTGGCGGGTTGATTCAGACCGCCCTGAAGGAGGACAGAACCCACGTGAAGTTGTGATAACATTCAGAGCCAAAAACAGCCCCCACCCCTCTTCGGAGAACCCAGTAGTTCCCACCAAAGAGAGGGCGAGGGTGCAAAGGCTGGTCTGAACACAGCTCAGATCTGGCTTTTTAATCAGGGCCAGGGGAGCCCCCTGAAATGCAAGTCCTGGGCCGCATCCTGATACTTTCCTTGGTGCTCTGGGCAGAAGTAACTGGCCTGCTTCAGTCACAGTTCAGCAGAACACCCCACTAAGTACCCCAAGGTTTAGTGAACCATAAACCACTGTTGGCTCCAACAAGGGGACAGGCCAGGAAGAAGTAACTGGGGTTTAGTAAATCTAGAATCATTTTAATCCCAATCCAGATTGAATCCATACAGTCCATACAGTCTTAACTCTGTGAAGCCTCGTTCACCAGCCCAGCCGGGAAAGAGGAGCAGCCGCTGCTACGGGAACAGTTTACTGCCATCGCCCTCAAAAGGGGGGCAACCGGACAGGGAATCCGAGGGCAGCGCTCATTGCGTGCCGGAGGCGACAAGCCCCGCTCAGGTGGACGTGTTTGCCCAGAGACCCCGGACGAAGCAGCGGCAAAGCTCCGCTGACATCCGCGGGCAGACAGGCGAACGCGGGACCTTCTCCTCCAAGGGCGCCCGGCGCCTTTCTACCCACCCCCGGCCCGTCTCTTTCAAGCGGCGGCGACTGCGGGGCAGGGGTCGTCCTGCGGGGACACCGGTGGGCGCGGAAAGAGGGGCGGGCGGGAGAAGCCCCTCTCCCTGCCCCGCCCCAGGGGGGGTCTTCCCCTTCTCCCGGTACAGGGAGCTCTGCGGCGCTGGGCGGGCGCCAAAGACGACGCTCGGGGCTCGGTCGGAACCGTCCGGCGCGCCCGATCCGATGCTAGCGCAGCGGCTGCGCGCAGCTTCGCTCCAGCGGCGGCCTTCCAAGCCGTGGCCTTTCCCTTCCCGAGGCGACGCGGGACTGGGGCTGCACCGGTGGCAGCAACTCCCAACAGCCCCAGCCGGGAAGGGAAAGGCAAAAAGCGCTTTGCCTTTCCCTTCCCGAGGCGACGCGGGACTGGGGCCGCTCCGGCGGCAGCAACTCCCAACAGCCCCAGCCGGGAAGGGAAAGGCAAAAAGCGCTTTGCCTTTCCCTTCCCGAGGCGACGTGAGATAGTGAGATCATTTCCCAAATTAATTATTTTTATTTTTGAAATTTACCAGTAGCTGCTGCATTTCCCACCCTCGGCTTATACTCGAGTCAATAAGTTTTCCCAGTTTTTTTGTGTAAAATTAGGTGCCTCGGCTTATATTCGGGTCGACTTATACTCGAGTATATACGGTATCTGTTATTGTAATAAAAGAGATATTTAATAACAGCAATCTTGAAAGCAACGCCAAGTATTTTTCAAGACTGTTAAAAGTCTGCTTTTTAAAATATTTTACTTCTGTAAAGTGAAAGCTGAGAGCATACGCAGTTGCATTTCACCCAATAATTTCGGTTTGAGGAAGCTTCACAGGAGATTTGAAAAATAGCTATTATCTGAACAATGAAAGACCCACCTCTGAAAAATTATCTAAATACCTGCAGGGTGCTACAAAAAGTTCCAAGAATAAGGAAAAATATTAATAATGGGGTAATTTTAGCATTCATATGCCAAGAAGTATGTAATATATAAAGTATTTATTTATTACATTTCTGGTTATATACAGCACATTAAAAACTGTCTCAAGAATTATCAAGCTTTTATTTACCACAAAAAGAGCAAGGACAAAATTCCTTGACAGTAATTCATCAATATTATTTACAAGTTTTCAGTTCATTTCCAAAGCAGTTCAAATAAGAGATTCTTTACCTTTAAAGTCATAAGCAGTAAAGATGTCTAAAGAATGATTTCTATATGTAAAGATTTTCTAGAAGAGATCTTGTTCAATACCTCAATATAGTTGGAAAGCATTCTGGATCATTATCCAAAAAAATAACTCTTTCAATAATGGAACCTAGAGTTAAAACATATTTGCTCATTTTTAGAAATTCTAAATGCCTATATGTTAATATTAAGTTCTTTATTTTTCCTGGATATTGGTTTACTTTCTGGATTTAATACTTTTAACCTTTGTTCTTTCTATGAATGTATCAAATTGACCCTATATTGTGCTCCTTTTTTACCCAAATTACCCAATTTGGCTGCCCACAATCGATACAATAAGCAAACTGTAAGTTTCATGACTCCTTCTTATACTATATGAACTAAAGCTAACATAGTAAATCTGCTTGAGAACATTGTTTTTTATTGTCTAATAACTGTCTAATGACAGTTATTAGATCATACAAGACAAGAAGTATTGACAGAAATATTATTTGTAGCATAATTGTTTCATATTGCTCATATTGTTTCACAGCAGTGACAGTTACTTTTAGTTTTACCTCTAGTTTTTCAGCAGAAGTAATTACAACCATTCATTTAGTGACTGTTCAAAGTTATAATGGTACTGAAAAAAATAACCTACAACTCGTCTCGTGGCTGTTACAGAATCCCCAGTCACACAAACAAACTTCAGGCACTTGAAAACTGGCATTTATATATAATGGTTAAAGAATTCCAGGCAGGGGTGGGATTCAAATTTTTTAACAACCGGTTCTGTGGGCGTGGCTTAGTTAGTGGGCATGGCTTGGTGGTCATGTGACTGGCTGGGCATGGCCAGCTCAACATCACTCACATCGAGGCACGCATCTCCTCGCCTGGCCTCTCATGACTGTGAGGATGCTGCAACTGTCGTAAGTGTGAAAAACGGTCATAAGTCATTTTTTTCAGTGCCATTGTAACTTTGAATGGTCACTCCACACAAGCAAAGTACCAGCAAAGGAGGGGAAAAAAACTCCAGAGATGTTCCTGAGACAGGAAGTCTAGTCGTGCCAAGAATGTAATAAGAATTATTGGAGAGGCAGTTTCTGTAAGCAACACCAGAATGTTTCCTTCCTGCCTTCCTTACAGGATTAGGCCAGTAATTTCTTCTAACAACCGGTTCTCCAAACTGCTTAGAATGTTAACAACCAGTTCTAGCAAATAGGTGCGAACCTGTAGAATCCCACCCCTGATTCCAGGGTTATGCAATTAGCATTTGTGACCTTCCTTCAATAAGCAAAATCAACCAAGAAGTTAATGACTTCGTGATTAATTTAATTAATGTATTTGTTTAACAACCAAGACAAAAAAAGATCATAAAATTGGGCACAACTCATTTAAATGTGCCTTGCTTAACAATGGCAATTCTGGTCTCAATTTTGGCCATAAATCAAGGACTACTTGTATTACAGTACAGTTTATGGACAGTCCATCAATCACCAATCATGTGAACCAAGTTACAACTACTACCCCATTTAGGTTTCAAATTTTATTCAGGTGGAAAACAATATTAATGACTATTGGAAACTGCTATTCATTCTGAAGATTGACTGAAAACTGCTCTCTATGGTTACACATTGGGTTTTTCCCCAATTCTATTGAAAGAATCAAGAGACAAAATGTTGCACTCCTTCTATGCAGGAAAAACAGCATAAATATTCATCACAAAGGAGAAGACCTGCCTTTACTCATCTCATATATCACTCACCCAGGGGTGGGATTCAGCTGGTTCGGACCAGTTCGAGCGAACAGGATGTTAAATTTACATCTGGTTCACCGAACCGGTTGTTGAATTGACCAGCTGGCCCTGCCCACCCCACCTCTCCGGCGTCTCCACGTGACCCGTTCTGGATGCAGGTAGGTGCAAGGTCTGCGGAGAGACTCTGGGAGGGTGAAAAATGGGCATTCCGGAAGTCTGGAAATGGGCTTGTTTCCAGCTTCTGGACGGTGTCCAGACCCTGGGGGAGGTCATTTTCACCATCCCAGAGGCCCTAGGGAGCCTCTGGATCCTGGGGAAGGCGAAAAATGGCCCTCCTGGAAGTTGCAGTAGATCACACCCACCATGGCTACGCCCACTCAGCAACCAGGCAGCGAACCGGTTGCTGGGATTTTTGAATCCCACCCCTGCACTAACCTCACTTTTGATCATTTCTTGGTCAAAGCAAACTATTTGGACTTTATAAATTTTCTGGAAAAAGTCTGAGCCATGACCCAAATCAAGAATACCACCAACATTTGTCTTTTCTATTTTGGATGAACAAAGACAAATGTGAAATGTTCAGTTCTAGTGACCAGATAAGCCTTTAATCGATCACATCCAACAATTCAGTTTCTTCTCCTTTGTAAAACCAACTAAGGGAAGACAGCAGAAGTCATAGCTGAAAGGTACTGTACTTATTCACGAAGAAATACTCATCACAAGCGCTTTTCCACCATTTTCTCAAACTCTTGACCATGTAACTGCAAATGGCCTGCAAACTTTCCACAAACTATAAAATTTGGGAGATGCTTGCATAGCCATTAACACAGGTATACCTTTAAATAGGAACACCTAACAATAGAAACTCTTCCAATTTAATAAGTGCTATTAACCATGCTCCACAAACCTTTATAGAATCAAAAAGAATAATTTTACTTCCCACTTAATTAAAACATCAAGATTATGTAATAAGTGGATCGTAAGTATCTAAGAATTTACTCTCAATTTTGGGACTCAGTCCCATCATTCTACGTGCCTGGTATGACCTTGGTTGGATAGTCTCCATTTTGCTCTAGCTATATGCCAAAGCAAGCATATGAGGCTTTAATCAGTTTATCAATTCGTACTCAAATAACACATGCAAAACTATGCTAATCACAAACTGAGAGTGCAATTTGAGTTAAGTAGCATATGACATTTGGAATATGACCAAATCAGAGCATCTGCAGAGATCTATACAAATCAGTTTTAACATGATATATAGAATAAGGCAATGGATCAGCACTAGAGAAATCAAATTCAAGCTTCCCTTCAGCTATGGAAGTTCACTGAATGGGTAACTTTCAACTTTTCATTTTCTTTCAGCCCAACATACTTCACAAGGTTATTGCTATGCAGAAAAATGGGAGAATCATTTGATGTGTACACCAGCCAGAGCTCAGAGAGGTAGGCAGGCAGGTAGGTGGGCCGCCAGACCAAGCTTTGAGAAAGTATTCACCCTATATTAAAACTAGTCACCTAATATAATTCCGATTTTATTCTAGTGAGAAAGTAGAACATACCGAGACAATTTTGGGCTTGTGAAAAAATAAAATACTTGGAATGACTGATGAAAACTAATTTCACTCTTAAGTGTTCTGCACAAACCAGGAAATCTTTGCAAATATGAAAAATAGATCAGAAAGAGCTTCTTTTTTTCCAAACAAATGAAAAATGTTAAAAGTGCTTAAAGATATTTGAAAATCAGTCCTCAGAATAACATCACAAGGTCATAACTTGAATTTATTACAAGATAGCTTACCCAGATTTCAGATCAGTAATCCTTAAACAGTTAGTTGCATCCAATCCTACTTTTCCATTTCTGACCACATTGGAGATCAAAGGAGAAAGTGATGGAGAAATTCTGTTTAGGGCAACTTCAGGAGACATATTATTTGTAAGTTATATTCACCTCTGTAAAGAAAATAAGAGAAAGCAAAACAGAGCAATTCCATTTCTATATATTGTCACATTTTAAGAATTTGAAAGACCTCACAAATAGACACAGTGAAAAAAGGATAAAGGCAAAAAAAAACTAAAATAAAGAGAGAAAAAAGCAGAAAATTTATGGAAGACTGCACTAAACAAGGAACAAAGCCATTTAAAAAGACAAAAAGGATGTTTGGACAAACATTCACCTAAATATACCCTGCATGGTCTCTTTAAAACACTGTCAGCATTCTAACCAAACTCTCCATCTCAATTCAGCACTCAGAGACAAAGTCCATCCAAGTAAGAATTTATTAGAGAAGTCATATTGGCACATCTGGGAAAACCCGAATCTTAATTCCCGTGTTTTCACCTGCTATATTAAACTCACATCCAGGCCTTTTCTGATGACCCTCAAGTCACACTGTCCAATCCACCTCCATTCTGAACTCCCGCCAAATCCAGTCATTTCCCTCCATACTCCAGCGACTCAGCCTTGAGCTCTGGTGAAAGAATGTTGTTGTGGCTATCCTCCCTTCTCACTTTACTTCCATTCCCATGGTTACCCATCCTCCCTTGTGGCAGTCCCAAATCTGATTCAAGATGGATGGGGGCTGACAAATACACATTCATACACATGGTTTGCTCAGTTTGTCCATTAGTTAATTCTGATGGACAATGCAACTTGTGAACTTCAAATCTGAGCACAATTTGCTACTAGCTTATTAAACTTCCCAGGCTTGTTGCTTGCCAAGATCAAATGTTACAAAATATATGGATGGTTCAGCATATTGCAAATTGTTCAAGCTATAAAATGTGTTCAATAAAGTAAATACAATTTCAGCACTAAACTTTAAACAGTTTCAAATTTATCTTATAGCGAACTCAACAATCACCAGCACATTTAGAATGGCTCGATTTTGCCCATTTTTCAACTTGGCAAAAGAGAAAGCTTAAATATTAGAAGTCATATTATATTTGATATGGGTTATGTTGCATTCTAATTATTCAAATAAAATTACAAAAATGGGATATAATAAACAGCAAATTTATCATGTTCTTTCTTTTATAAAAATGTTATATATGGGGCCATATGAAATATTATAGGCAGCTTATTAATTATATGCACATGAATAAAAAGACATGTTAAGTAGATAGTTGTTGGCTCTCATTTATTGAAAAACATTTTACATCCCACGGTTTACATCCCACTATGCTATATTATTTTCATGTGATTCCCAGGACCTAATGTTCTTGAACATACCTTTAATTTAAAAAAAAAAAAACTTTAGTCAATCTACAGACAGGTAGACTTCGACTTATGACCGTAATTGAGCCCAATGTTACAGTTCTAAGTTGTGCTGATGTTTAAGTGGATCCCCATATGACCGTGGTTAATTTTATGACCTTTTTGTAGTAATTGTTAAGTGAACCTACTGTACCTAATGAGAGGTTTTTTGCCAGGAATTGAAAGTAAACTCCGGTTTCTGGGGGGGGGGGAGTCATAAATCAGTCATGTGACCCTGGTGTACTGCAAATGGCCATAAATGTAGACTGGTTGCCAAGTGCTCAAAATGTGATTATGTGACTGGGAGGGTGGTGGTCAGAACTTAGAAACTGGGTCATAGGTAGCTCTGTGATGGTCCACTGTAACATTAAATATTTGCCAAACGATAGATTTTAAGTTAAAGACTACTGCTAAAGTTGACTCATGCCTTATTAAGGATTCCTTTCTAATACTGATGTATAATAATAAGTTATTGAACTTTGAATACCAAATTTATCCATTATCTTTGTGTTTTGTATATTTTTGCCCAGAATGCTCACAGCTCTGGCTTTTTCTATCCCATCCTCACTATGCCACCCTTAGAAATGCCCCATAATAATTTTACTAATCCAGGAGAGATTTAGAAATTGGACAGGAAGTATCTACTTGTTCTTGGCTGATCTTGAAACACTAATTTTAATCTGAATATTTTGATGACAGCACTACAAAATTCTGAGCTATCAGCTGTAAGTTGAATAAAGGGTATTTTATTTAGGAGGAGGAACCAATATCCAACCATGTCTCTTTATTAGAAAATAGATTCCCACTATCCATTAGAAGATAGATTTCATGCTTAAGTAACATTATTGCACAAAAAAATATATTTTTCAAGTATTCCAAAGCCAATAAGCAACCTAATTCTAAAAATTAAGACTGAATGCATACAGATGGAGGATTACAATTGAGGCCTCTGAAAATGGAAATCCAGATTCAAATCCATCCACATCCATAAAAGCTTTCTGGAGGGTATTCCTTTAAGTAAATGATTAATTTAATTTACCATAATTAATAGAAATTTGTTTAGATGCATGACAATATAAAAACACAGTTAAAATGATCAAGGTAACTTCGCAAAATTGATCCAAAGCCTAATAGCAACCTAATACTAAAAATTGGAGAGCCATTGTGGTGTTGGACTAAGAGCAGGTTCTAATCTACCTTCAGCCATGGAAGCTCACGGGCCAACTTTGGATCCATTATAACATCTCATACCAATTTACTTCACAGGGCTGCTGTTATGGGCAACACTATGTATGTTCCTGTATAAAGTGAAAGATATATAGCTAATAAATAAATTAGCTAATAAGCCAGGCGATACACAATATTTCCTAAAAGATCCTCGGGAAGTGGTTAGTTTTCATTACTTTCATTACTTTCTAGAAGGCCATCACTGAGGGGAGGGGAGCCTAGTTTCTTGAGGCTCTTCCACAATATGGAGCCTTCCCCATTATCTTGCAACTGGGATATCGTGAACAGAATCTCCTGGAAGAATTTTCTTGAAAGGCAAAACCTCTGATTGGATTAAATGATCCTGAAGTTCAGGAGCATCCTTCAGCCCAAGCAAATTCTCAGAGCTGCTGTTCTGGGAGGGGAAAAAAAGGGGGGGGATGGAGTGACATTTGTCAACTTAAACATCTAAATATAGAAAAGTATATATATGATTATGTCTTTGACTCCTAGTGGCTACATTCTCCCTGATGAATGATATATCAAACAAGATGCAGCCTGGCTCCCAGATTTTTCCATTAATAACTGACGATCAGTTACACCTTTGCCTATAGCAAATATGAAAGATACAAGGGCTCAACCTTAATAAACACCTGCAAAATGTTAGGCTTTCGGTTTGATGAGTTTCGCCAATGGTAACGGAGCAATCATTCCGAGCACTACTCCGCCAAAGACAAGAGCATAAATATCAATGCTTGGAAGAGCATAAATACCAATGCTTTATGCACCCGGTTAAAAAAAGCGCGCGGGGGGGGGGGTAATGAAAGCTCCGATTTCCACCGCAGGAACTCCTACACTTGACGCTGAGTCCCACAGCAAGGAAGAACGGGCACACAGGAAAGAGCAGGTGACACAGCCACCCAGCCCGCCTTGAACCGGGCTCGGTTTCCTCCGGCCTCCCTCAACCACCAACCGAGGCTTAGAACGATCAGAAGAAGCGCTTACAAACCCCGAAACTGCGCCGGCCGCTCGCCTCTCCCTCGCGCCTCGGGCGCCTGCGCGGATCCGCCCACCTAAAGCCTGGCACGCTACGGGACGTTACGTGCGCGCCGCGAGCCGCCTGCACGAGACACTCGAGCCCTTTCGCCCGGCCCCTCCTCGAAAACCGGAGGAAAGGGGGCCTTTCGTAATGAATATAGGTGGTCTTGCGCGCGCCTGACTGAATACAGTTTTTATAAACGGCGAGGGGTGGTGGTGCGGCAAGATTCTGTAGCGACCACGGGTCTCGTCCGTAGGCGCGAGTTAGCGTGAAAACGTGGTTAAAAAGCGTGATCAGGCGTTTTAAAGGGGTAGTCTAATAGAAACGTGAAGGACTCCACAGGTAAAGCGGATTGGTAAAAGGATAACAGGCGGATAGTGCTGAGAACGGCTGGAGGAAAGGCAGGTTAAAGGTCACGTGGTGGAGAAAAAAAAAGGTTTCTTGCAAGTGGCTCCTTGCTCCGTTCTTAGCATGGTAGTGGCAGAAATCGTCGTGGTGGGATCCTGTATGACTGATCTAGTGAGGTTAGTATTGGACGTGAGGGCCCTGCTTCCCCCCCCCCCCAAGTCAATGCAAAAACTGGTCCGAGCGACTAAATCAGAGATTTCAATTTACATGAAAAGAAAAAGTTTGGATCCACAGCTCCTCAAACTCTTCAGTTCGCCAACCTCTTCGTGACGTTTCAGATCGTTTATTCACCCTCCAAACATGTAATAATGTTGGATTGTCCTATCACCTCTTGGGGTTCACTATGGACCACTTTGAGAAAAACCTAGGTTATACTAATCCTAATCACTTGAAATATTATTACCGAAATGAGAACCTAATATGAAGCGGTCCTGATAGTTTCAAGCCACATTTGAGTTAAAGGAGATTTTGCTGTATAAATAAAACATTTTGATCATTTAAGTATTATTTGCTTCCTAATTTTCAAACCCAATTTGTGGTATTTTTTGCCTGATTTAAATAGATTTCTGTATGTAGGCTAATGAGAAATTGTCAGATATATTGATTGTGAGCATGTTTTTTTTTTCTTATGATGCTATTATTTCATGATAAAGTGGAACTAGAAAAGAATACTGGCTAGAAAATAGAACTGTTCTTTGGATATCTTTGTTCCCATCCATGATCTCACAAACTGTAATCATTAAATATTTAAAATACCCTTTATGTTAAAAATGGTCTCATCTATAAGGATAAGAAAGAAAAATCTTCATGTGTGAACATAAAGAGATGCAAGAACTTCTTGTAAGACTAAAATACCAATGTAAACATATTACAAACTATTATGCACTACTGTTTAAGCAATCCATGAAGAAACTTGTATCAAAAACATATCTAAACATCTCTTGCGCAAATCAAGTTTTTTATTCAGTCCTAGATTTTCAGATCAGAAATTTTCATCTCTGCACAAAGCATAGAATCAAATGAATATGTTTACGGTTTTGTTAAAAATAATATTCATTTATTTTAGGGAGATTTGTTTCTAAATATGCTTGAGATATACAGTACAACTTGCTCTTTAAAGTTATTGAAACGTTGGGGCAAATGTATATAAAATTTGGTTCTTTACTTTCCCTCTCTTATATCCCATTGAATCAGGGAAAACCTACCTGAATTTATTTCTTTAAGGAATTAAGGAATGTTTTATTTTTATTATATATTATTGAATATCCGATTAACACTCAGAAAGTCTTATTGTGCAACAAATTAACTCAGTAAGTAAATACAGCCCATGATTCCAGTATGACTTCATTTCAAAATTTGTGCAGTCAGCAAAAATGGTAGCACTGCAAGTCTTAAAGCACTGACAAATTGATTCAAATTTCTCATGATTCTTTGATGCTTTCTGAACTTAATTGTTTGATTGTAGACATTTCATTATCCGATTAGATAATAACATCAATGCTATGGAGCTGAAGTCTCCAAACTTGGCAACTTTAAGCAGGAGTGGGATTCAAATTTTATAACAACTGGTTCTGTGGGCATGGCTAGGTGGAAATTTTCATTTGACTGGGTGGGTGTGGCTTTTTTGCAGCACCCCCCTCCTGTTTTTTGGGCCTCCTGGGGGGCATTTTTGCTCCCAGAAGGCTTCCCTGGGGCTTAGGAAGAAAAAAAAATGGAACCTAGAGGGGGCGCACAGAACCCCTCCCCCCACACGCTCCGTTTTGTGGCCTCCTGGGGCCCAGGAAGAAAAAAATGGAGCCTGGAGGGGACGCGTAGCACACACACCCCCACACTCCATTTTGGGGCCTTCTGGGCCTTGGAAGCCTCCAGGGGGGCATTTTTGCTCCCAGGAAGCTTCCCTGGGGCCCAGGAAGGAAAAAAATGGAGCCCCCCCTCCATTTTTTGCCTTCCTGGGCCTCAGGGGAGCCTCCTGGGCGAAGTAGTAAGTGAGAATCCTGGCATAGCTGATCATAGGAACAGCTGATCGTCGGAAGGGGGGGAAGAAATACCTTAAGGAGTGACTGGGCAGGGAAGAACGCAGTCATTGATGTTGGGCATGCACGCAATGTTGCACATGCGCGATAAGGACTCACTGGGCAGGGAGGGGATGAGAGGGGCCAGCCAGGGGCATGATTTGCCGGTTCTCCAAACTGCACAGAATCAACAATTTCTTCTATAGAACCGATCTGAACCAGTAGAATCCCACCCCTGACTTTAAGACTTGTGTCAACTCCCAGAATTCTCCAGCCACTGGGGACTCCTACTATGGAGTATGGGGTTTACTGTCTGTTTCTATGTAGTAACTTGCCCTGTCAGTATTGGTGGGGATGTGGTTTCTCCTTGGTAGTTTATTTATAAGGGTATACTTCTCTGCTTGATTGTTTATCTGGTGCTAATCTCCACTCAATCTATGCATTGGCTGCTATGTTGTGGTCTTTTTGTTTCTTTCTTAGCTTGTTTTGTTCCTTTTGAACATTGTATAAATGATTTATTTCTATAGGTCTATTGATGGCTGAAGGGCAAGCTTCCAGGAGTTCCCTAGCCTTTTGGATTTAGCTTAATGTAAGATGCTCACTGTTTCCCAGTTGAAATTGTGGTTGAATCTGTACATGTGTTGTGATTAAGGAGTTTTCATCCTGTCTTAGTTCAACTCCTACCTAGTAGATGTCCATAGAAGTGCTCTGCTAGTCTTCTGCCTGACTCTCCTACACAGTGGATATTTTGGCCCTTACACTGCATGTTGCAGATGACTCTTTTTGGCTTCTGGGTCTTTTGGTTTACTTAAGGTAATTTGGAGGGCTTTGGTTGGTTTGTGTGCTATGATGATGCTGTGTGGTTATAATAGCATGTATTATTCTCTGAGATGTTTTTGATTTGTAGCAATGTTATTTTCATAGTTTAATTTGGTTGTGCTCTGGTGGGTTAAGTGGTTCAGCAGCTTTTGATAAAGTGTGAATATCCATTTTTGTTGGAAGATGTTTTATAGGAGGTTTATTTACATTTATTTTTTAATAAAATGTATATGGCTGCCCAACTCACACTCAGTGACTCCAGGTAGCTTACAAAGATAAAATCCAATACAAAAACCAATAAACTTCCACTCCCCCACCAACAACTATCAGACCAACCACTTTATGGGCTCGATGTTACTCTGAGGTCCCAGACCCATTGGCAAAATCATGTCTTCAGGGCCTTGCAAAAGTGTCAAATAAAGGCCAATCTTATGTCTACAGGCATGATGTTCTATAGAGAGGGAGTCACCATGGAGAAGATCCTTCTTTTTGGTCGGATTCCAAAAGACCTCCTATATGGAGAATTAGTGCAGGGAAGGCGCCGTAGAGGGAGACCATAACTGCAATATAAGGACATCTGCAAGAGGAATCTAAAGGCCTTGGGATTGAACATCAACAGCTGGGAAACCTTGACCTCTGATTGTTCAGCTTGGAGGCAGCATGGCCTTCTTCAATTCAAAGAGATACTGGCTCGGCAGGCTGAGGCAAAGAGGCAGTCCCAGAACCAGCGAAATCCAGGAGCTGGACAGGAGACAGACTGTATCTGTCCTTAATGTGGAAGGGATTGCCACTCTCGAATTGGCCTTTTTAGCCACACTAGATACTGTTTTAGGACCTCTTTTCAGAGCACGATACCACAGTCTCTTGAGACGGAAAGATGCCAGTGATGATGCCAATGAATGATATGTGCCACCTTAGGAGAAAGTACTCATAACATTCCTTGTCTCCCCACTCTAGTGGGTCATGTAGATCTGATTGGGAAAACACAGTGCTTCGCATAGCCTTTTTCTGTGTTTTAGGTTGCTACAGTACATTTGTGCTTGTCTGAATAATATTCTTAAATAGCTCCTTTTATGGGAGGTTGGATTGTTACTTTAATAATGGAGCACTTGGTTAGTGTAGATTGTTTTTCAATAGGTTTGCATTTTTAATTTGCCATTGTTTCCTTTGCTGATGAGGATATCCAGGAAGAGTATTGTTGCTTTTCAGGACGGATAGAGTCTTCTTGTTTTTTCCTCTCGTGAATTTTAATCCTTTGAAGATGTTTTACCTACCTTCTCTAATTCTTTTTTATTATGACAAAGGTGTTGTCTACATACCTGATCCACACTTTTGGTTGCAGGTGTGGAAGTTTCTAGATGCTCTATTACAGTTTCTGCTATGAGTCTTGAGAGTGGTGAACCTAAAGAGACCCCAAATTTCTTTATATTGTTCACCACCATTTAGGAGCAGAATACACAGTGGAATGAAGAAAAATCTATAAACACAACATCAATATAGTTTCATGGGAAGGTATATGAATTCCATGTAGTATATTCTATATTAAAAACACTTAACCTGAGGCTAGAAAAGAAAAAGCATCACCTCAGCAAATCTCCTCCTTAGGGTCAGAATCATAATAATTGTGATGAACAGTACAGTCCTCTCTATCATCAAAGCATTGGTTTCATTGGGGCTTATTTTCTGATTTATAAATGCAAGATCACCTGATATTTGAATTCCGATTCATTTTTGAGTAAATGTGCCCAATAATTACTACAAGTACCCCTTCCTTTCTTCCTTCCTTCCTCTCTCTCTCTTTCTT